AGGAGCGGGCCGCGATCAGCGAACCGAATGATTTATTTACTCGAACCGTCCAGATGCGATCTGACTTTCATTTTATTGCCAGCTTCCTCCCAACACTGACTATTTACACGTTTCACAAAGCCAATAAACAAGTTTTACACATTAATGTGCGAAATAAAAGTGAACAGACCGTCCCTTGGGGACGGTTAGATCTTCGGTAGAGTTCTTTTCAATCTTCCTCCATTTATAAATAAATTACTTGCGCCGTTTGATAGGAATGTTAATATGACTTCACATTAAGTGGGGATCGCTGAAGACAAGTGAAGTGTACTTTATAAAATTCTTCCGTCTAAGCCGCCGGGCTAACAGCAAATTACACGTCACAAAAAAAATCGTAAAATAAAAAAGCGTTTTCTACCTTCTTATATAACTAAATGAATACGGTACATGACATTTATCTGATGATTTTTGTCAGGATGCATATCACAATCCTGCTTTGACTCGGAGTGAGTTAACAATACTGTATTTCCAAAATGTATTTTCATAAATTTCGACCACATTTTAAAAACTTCATATCATTTCAATCATAATAAATTGTGGCTACTTCACTTTAATAGAGTACTTGTCAATTAAATGTTAAATGCTATATGCATGAAAGTTTAGTTTTATTTAATAAATTGAGTTAGTATAATGGTGGTTCAAACACTTGAAATAAATTAAGATGTGAGAACCTATTACTATATAGCATAAAGGTTATTTCTAGGTATACATAGCTACTTAATAACTAAAATCGAACTTTGATGAAGAAATAATGGCAAAAAAACTAATAAGAATAATTACAAAAGTTCTCACAGTAATCGCTGTTAATACGGATAGAATAATTCCATAAAACCTACTTTTTCATACGGAGAACGTAACTCGAATAATCCATAATAATTATGTTCTTTTTTCACAGTAATCATTGGAAACGCCTCATCCCTAACGTATCGTTTTAATCGACGTTAATCATTGTGGTTCATCGGATTGATGAAGGGCAGGTCATCGTCAGTTCTTCCAGATATTTTTTTTTCTATAATTTTAAATGGTTTTTAAGATGGTGACTTTCAACCGATGTTGACAATAAAAGCAAATTCCACTGCGGTAGAGGCGTACACTGTAGCCTACTCTTAAACAAATAAGCAAGGTTTGTCCGATGAAGGGAAGACTGCGTCACCTTTCTTTTTTTTTTTTGGTATCGGGGGGAAATCTTCCAAAGGGTGTCTTTCACCTAACATGACAGGGTTATCACCTTCCGTATATTTGGAGGGACTCCGGGATCTCCCATGGGACGCACCGATGTCCCTCGGTACTACGCCTGAGCACGCCTCGGAGAAGGATAAACCTTCTCTGATCCCCTCACCCTCGTGCTGCCCATCTGTTTCCCCTTTTAGTCGCCTTTTACGACAGGCAGGGGATACCTCAGCCCTATTCCATGAGCCCGTGACTACAGGGCTGGCGTTAACTACAACTCCATAGTTATTAAAGCTATCCATGGGTAGCTCTAAACTTAACATCAGGTGAACCGCTTGCTTTTTCTTCAGCTTCTCACAAAAAATGTAAGAATCAAAACACGATAGCTATAACATAATTAAAAAAAAAAAAACTATTTAAAGTGGTTAAACTAAACAAATTTCTTAAATTAAAGAAATAAAAAATAATTATAATAAACGAATATAAAATTCGGGAGAAAAACAGCAATATCCTCAATCATATTCATTAGCATCATTAGCAAGCTTTGACCGGCTTGCGACAGTTGAAAATGTAATAAATAAAATCAACCGCCTTTCAAGTTTACACCTTATGACATTTACAGGCATCCCGAATAAAACTCATAAATTTTCGCCAATTATTATTGATCATTTTTAAAAGAAGAGAGCAGCTCGCTTCTGCAACGCTCTTTTCTAAAACATGCATACATATTTAAATATGCGATTAATAAGACACAAGCCAAAACAAAAGTAAAGCAACGATAACCGTTATTGTAAACAGCGTAAATTTATAAAAAAAAATATGTCACACGTTCGCGCTAAGCCGTAATTTCATGTTTCGAACACCCACATCGCGCTAAAAGCCAACCTCCTTGCCCGCACGTATAATTAGGAGAAATGATCACGGATTTTATGCGCGACAGGCGTCGAAAAGGCTGTCCCGTGCCCCGCAAATATACGGCCACTTTTTCATATAGCGCACCAATAAATACACTCGTGAAATTGTGAACCGTATACTTAATAAAGGCCTTTAGTAGAATGGTCTTTATTAAGAATTATAGCCGTGTCGCGCCCATACTGCATACGATATGAATAAGTACATCTAATTACAATGCAAAATAAACGTGGGGGATTATTAAGAAACACTATGTAACGTACTATTTCGCTCATTGTATAATTATTTCTGCAGACTTTGATTTGTGTACGAGAAAAATAGAAAAAGGTTTAAAATGACCCATTACATCGTTTAAATTATCACAAATGACTGCCTCAAATTTCATATATATTTATTTATTTGGTGACAGATTAAGACACGTTTGAGGTTTAAAAGCGTTAAACTCATATATTACTTTTCCAATACTAATCATTGTAATAGTACACATTTATAATCTATTTGATATTTTTTTCTAAAAAATTCGACCACACGCAATCAATGTTAGATGACCACGAAATCGATCGATTTATCGATTTAATGCGAACCGATTCCAAATTTGAAACCGGCGCGCCCGTAGTCTCTAATTCCGTTTCCCCGCCTATAATTGACGCTGACGCGCCATTTTCTGTTCCGCTCCATCTCTTTCGGTCCGTATGCGCCCATCCCTTTCGTGTTTTAGTGTCACGTGCGATTGTCAGTGTAGTCACTATTTCGACAATTATGTCATTTGGTTGTCACGGGCGTGTCATTTGGAAGACGAGCGATTGCCCTGTAATTTTGTTGGGAATTGTGGAATTTTCGAGGTCGTTGACATGTGCTCCGATGTATGGGAACATCTGGATTATGGGAAGAGTTATTCATTATTAGGGACATTGAAAGTCACTATATCAAGGCTTTGTTTTGTATTTAGTTTTCTTTAAATGTTTGTATGTTAATTCCATTTGGTTAGGACTAGTCTGCTTACTTCTTATTAAGTTTTAATAGGTGATTTTTAAACTCCGCATTTCTGAGCATATTAGTCATGACCGTAAAATTGATAATAAAAGCATATGGCAGTATAGAATTACCCTATAGAATTTGATTATTTGCCTCTTCTCGTATACTACAAATAAGTCACTTTAGAAATTTAAAAAAGACAAACACCTATATTACCATGTTCGAGGATGCTTTTATATCTGATACATTTACGTAATTACAAAGGTAATCCTGAATATATCACATATTAAAGTTCCGTGAATTGTAAAAACTTCGTGACCAAGAATTTCGCGATTTGCACATCTGTTTCACTGAAATTGAGCCATTGGGGCTCGCTCTTGAATTAAATATGAGCGTTGAACTAAGACCCTTATATCTTTTATCAAAATATTCAGAATACTTGTTTATATTTTTAACACAGCAAGTGTCCGAGGTCGGTCTAGTTCGAAAAAAATTATACATATAAAAAAAATGTAACTCATCGTTGTCTGTACATAGAAAATATTTGAGAAAAACTCATATTGGGGTCTTTATCAACACAGTAGAACCAATTAAATAAAAAAAATAATCAAATCAATTTTAACAAAACACTGATTGTTGAAATAGATTTGATTAATTGATTGAGATGTCTGTTTGTATGTGTGTTTGTGCGCACTAATAACAGAAACGGCTTAACCGATTTCGGCGCAACTTTCACTAATGCATTGTAGTAAGCTTCACTTAACCTTTAGTGTTTTATTTACATTTAGTTTTATTTAAATCGGTTCATAAATAAAAAAGTTATATCAACTTGATGAACCACATTGAAGATTTGTGCGATAAAATGCTATGTAATAGCTACATTTGAATTGGATAAAACAATATATAACTATATATTATGGTCTGTAAAATGATGATGATTGTAAATTTGTATAAAGTTAAAAAAAATCGGCCAAGTGCCAGTCAATCTCGCACACAAATGGTTTCGAGGGTGCTTTTAAAGCACGATATAAAATGTGGTACACGAGGGCGGGGCCGCGGGCGAAAACTGAACTTGACACTTATGGTACTACATTATCCACAACATGGTATCGTTTCGGCAGCTAAACAGTTCTCATCTACACTCACAAACTATCTGACAAAACTAACCCGGACCCTGATAGCTCGAGCTTTACTCGAGCAACCTGAGTTCGATCCCCGGTGTCAGCACCAATGAAATTGTTAAATTTAAGTGCTGTCTTATCACGTGCTCGGCGGTGAAGGAGAACATCGTGAGGAAACCAGCATATTTTCGAAATAACAACAAAAAAAATATTTCAAACATATGGGAAGTCCGCCAAACCGCAATGGGGTCAAGTTTTCATAAACTTCCATTAATATATAATAATAGAGATCCGTGAATATAGATGTCACCTTGTTTTAATTACGGTTACAAGTAATTAAGAGAAAATACTAAATAATATTAATAATTACAACAAATACATCTTTTTCGTTTCCCTTTTGAAGGCAGAAGCAGTAGTAAGCGATATTTGTCTCTACCTTCAGTTAAAGTTAGTGCCAGTGTAATTAAATAAACTTTACGAAATTGAATTATACAATATGAATCAAAATGAGTTTTATATTGAAAAGTGGAATTGTGCTATAACTGTAAATGATAAAGTTAACAGAGAATATTGGAGCAGATTTTGTAAAGATTATTAGACGCACTAAGTTAATGTTAATGAGACGACGCTTTTATTATAACATTAACATCTGTCCCACTTTAACTGTCATCCAGACAACAATAAATAGACATGTATAATATAGGAACTACCATATCACCATACATACTCACGTGGCACTGACGTTTACAAGACGTCCGTACCAAACAAAAAGACATATCTTGAATGAAAGTTAACGGCATAACTAAAGGTCAGTGCTCATATAATAAGACAACGTGTTAATTGGAAGGCTGTAATGGGTCGATTCGGCTGGATTACTCGTCGGAGTTGATAAAAGCGAGTCCAGCGGACAGCCGCCGGTCTACGCCACGCCACGTTGAATGCTAATGCGACAGCGCGCGCGCCTTTGTCCACAGGCCGCTTCCCCGAACCGCCGCCCGACCTAGGATCCGTCGGGAGCCTAACGAACTTTCGGCTCCTTGGAAACGCACGTGAGAGTGACGTCACGCTACGAATTTTTACGGTCGCCCGGTTTTCGGCCACCGATTGTCGCTACGCCTTATACAAGCGCGTGGCATTGTTTGACTTTCGCAATCATTGGATCTGTAATAATATCATAACATACAGGTGTCATAATAATCAGGCTTTGTATTAGAATTAATATGAGTATAAATCGATGTGGTCTTAAGATAAAAAAAATATATTAACTTATCGAACAGTACTTAATTCATAAATACTGAACTTTTTTAAATTAATTTTGTACTAAATATTAAGTGTTGTATATAAAAAAATATTGTATGAAGTTAATCTGCAAAAGTTTTAAATTTTATAAAATAGTCCAAAAAGCTACGCGTAGAACAAATTCACCCAACATAAGACATCAACGCGTTCGCTTCTGTTTCATCGAACAAAAAATATGTTTACTTTCATTACTTTGAATGTATAAAAGATAGATAAATCGTAAATAACTTTTTTACTATAAAAATCACTTCTTGCCACAGTTAAATATGTCCGCTAAAACTTATTTTCAAGTGGTCAACGATGTTGAGCGTAATTTGATCGTAAATTTTCCATACTAACGTCATTTATTTCAACAGCGCTTATTTAAGACCAAGTCTACCAAGTTAAGCTATGACCGATAATAATAATAATTGGTAATAGTAATAATAAAGCAACGCATACACCGCGAGGCGTTCACCGTGCCGCGGTCCGTTTAGTTTCCATTCTATCAAATTATTTCCTAGTTGATTTTTTTAAGTGATTTGTAAAAAAGGACCTGTTAAGTTTATGGATGTTGAACGTCCCTTTGCTGGGTGTAGAAAGTAAAAAATTAAAAACCTTAACTAATTTTTTTTTTCGATGGAAGTCGATAGTTGCTTTATTGCATCTATACTTGTAAAAAATTAAGAGCACACAGTGAGGTGGATACCGTAAAGTGTCTGTAGAAGGTAACAACACTTAAAAAGAAACTACTACTTTTATGATATTCTTCAAAACATCGATCATAGTGATATTTCACTCCATAAAACCCGCCAGCTAATCTAGCCAACACATCCGTGTAAGCTGTGCCGCTAACTTTATATTGAGGAAGTGATCAAGTAGGCGATCAGCAATAAATACTTTTTGCTGATCGCCTACCTGATCACTTCCTCCTACCTACCTGGGTATAGAGAGATAAGAGAGGTTCCCTCTTATACAAGAGCAAACCTCGCTTTATACCCGTTTAAAACTGTTACAGCTCAATGTCCGGGCGATTGCCTCTATTTCAATACACTCGAGCAACCTGAGTTCGAACCCTGATACCGCGGCACCAATAAAATTGTTAATTTTAAGTGCTGAAAACATCGTGTGATATCCTGCATAATTTCGAAATAACAAAAATATGTTAAGTCCGCCAATCTGGAGTGGGGCCGCGTGTTCGACTATGCCCAGATACCCTATGTATAGAGGAGGCCTTTGCCCAGCAGTGGGACATGTATAGGCTGTTACTTGACTGGCAGCACTCAAGTGACAACTGGTCCAGGATCTCGTGCCGTCCGCGCAATGGAAACGGGCCGCGTCGGCGCGTGCTCGCGACGTGACCGCGCGGCGTCACGCGGCGCGAATAAACGCCCCGGTAATGAGCACGTGCGACGCGCCTTCCCTCCCTCGCTCCCGCCACGCACGACCGTAATAACGTGCAGACCCGCGAAACGCCACGACTCCGAGCTCTTTGGCAACGCATCTGCAATCCTTTAGGTTTGTTTTAGCTGTCCGGTAATCGCTTACCATCAGGTGTACTACCTGTTCGTTTGCCAACGTTTCACATGGACAGAAAAGAAGGAAGCCTATTCGTAACTTGTAGATCGGTATGCTGTCGCAACTGCTCTGGTTTCGCGAATGGAAAATAACGTCATTTTAACTGCTATGGTAGCTGTCATAAGTTTGAATGGACCGTTCGCAAAACTCTCCTCGCCCCGAGTAAGTGAATGTAGAAATTGTAAATGAAGACAAATACACATAATAAAATAACATACACAATACACGTTTAATTGAAGCGATGGCAAAAGCGTAAATTACTCACATGATGATAATCGATCGCTATCGCTATTGGACTTTTGCAACACCAGAGAGTTTAAAAACCATACCAATTTTTTTAAGTTGCGCAAAAATCCCAGCTTCTATACTCGTGTAGCTGTCGCAGTGACTGACTCGCCATATGTCAAGTTCCGTGACTAACGCCCGGTTTCTGAAAGACTGATCATCGTAGATGTCAAATAAACAGCTGTCAAATTTATGGTTCGTGATGGTTAAACTCTCTGAATTGACCAAAATGATCTTTTTAATGATCAGAATGAGCAATTCAAAGAGTTTAACCATCCTTTTGGCAACTCAAATGAAATTTGAAAAGCCATTTGACAACTGATTAGTTGTATCTGTATCTACGATAATCTGTCTTCCAGAAACCGGGCGTCAATGATTTCATTTAAACATGGAATTTATCTCCGACTACCGCGTTTAAAACCCTTCTAGTGTAACAAGTGGGTGTGCCTCTAACTTCGTTTCAAGTAATTGAAAAAATATCAGCTTTATGCAATTACTATGTTAAAGATCAATTTGGAATCTTCAGATTTAGCAGAAGGTTATGTATTCTTACGGTTAAACTATCACAAAAATTTTGCCATTTTGACGGTTCATATAATGTCATACTTGATAGATTTCCCGTCTATTTTAATTTAACTGATAGACGTTCCAAGCTTATGTGTTCGTATACCAGGAAACCGAATAGCTTCTACGACTCAAAAATTGATTTTGATTAAGTCGATTTTGATCGCGACGATAACTTCTAGTTAGCTCCGATGATGTTTTTATTAGCAAACACAAAAATCTTCGAGCATATAGAATCGGGTTTTCTTTTAATTAAATATATAATGACGTGAAACAATGGCATACATATGAATCGAATCTTTGCTGGTCCTAAACATTTATTTATAAGCTAGACCACTTAGTGGTTTACCATATGGTTAATATTATCGTTTCATCGAAATCGTTCAATAGCAAAGTTGCTCTATAACACGAATGCATCGAACAAACGACGTCATAAATGTTTCACGCCCCATTACACAGGTTTCGTTGTGTCAACTAAAACGTAACTATTCCCCGAGCAAGTGGCTCTTAACAATCACTTCATTTTATGGTTTTTCTTATAATCGAAGGCTAAAAAAACCACGGAGACGCCGTCGGCACGCGCGGACTTGCCGTCTGCGTACGCGCGTCGAATCCTAACATGGGCGACAGAGATAGCGAAAGCCGGTGTGCATTAGTGCGAGCGATACAAACATATGATTAATGGGCACGGCCGGCAACAGAGAAATGCAGTCAAATTAGGAAAAATAAATATTGAGGCTGATACACCGCGGAATACCTGATATAAGTTATAAGGCGAAAATTGAATGGACAACCGTCGCATGTCTGGTTACTCTGGTTGTTTGTATTGAGCACATTTAAGGGCGTGAATTGCGGCCTTAATTATGATTTATAACTTTTTATTGCAATAACTGTGAGCACCTTTAGCGGTAATGGATAATGTTTGTTAATCACTCGATCTCTCGGAAGTGAATCTCCATTATTCGATAAAGTTTACGAAGTGAAGTTTTTACATCGAAATTATACTTTTTTTTTTTTATGCCAAAAGTTGTCAAACGAGCAGACGGTTCACCTGATGTTAAGTGAATACCGACGCCCATGGACATCTGCCACACTCGAGGTTAACAGATGCGTTGACAACCTTTTGAAAATTGGGCTCCGGCTACCTCACTCACCAGACGAAACGCGAAAGTATTTGTCATACTTCCACTTTACGCTGGTCTTCTGTGAGGTCGTGGTACTTACCCGGACGGGCCTGCCCATTCGTGCAACAGCCGAGGCTGCTGCGTGGCCCTACCACTGTAGATACTGTTTGTACTTTTGTGTATTTTCCGGGAGTTGCAATTGCAACCCCTATTTTTTAATTTTAACTCATAGTTTTTGAGTCCGTATACTAAATGGTTTTAAAGTTTTATCGCAGCGAGAACTGATCGGCTTGTAAGAACCCATGAATTTGATTCAATCCTTCTATTGTTGCGATCACTTATCGATACTTTTTGCTGTTTAACCTTCTCTACATAGAGACCGTTAAAACTACTACCATGAGTTAACTTTTAATTTGCGTTCAACATTGGCTTAGAACTGGAAAGTAATTCTTTCATTAGATTCTGTTAAATAAACATAACACAAAACTTATAATACTTTTAAGCGCTTCAGACATCGTAGCGACATCATTGAGCCTTTGAGCTGTTGTCTCGTTTACCACCTCCTATATAAACACAATCCAGAGTCAAATGTTACAGTCGTAATAAAAACAAGCTTCCAGCGGCCGAGTCCCACCCGCGTTCGTAGCAGCTTGACGTGTTAAAAACATTTTCACGAGCCGCTTACCATCGTTTTACTCTCAACTGCGCGTTCGTACATAAAATAGATTATATACTAAGAAATAGCTGAGAAGGCGGGACGAGTAACGTCAGTGCACTGACTGTCCACAATGCGTCGCCTCCGGGCTACGGGTTTAGTGCGGCAACAAAAGTTTATTACTCAAAATATGCATTCGACATTTGCTGGTCAAGTTACAAGCGGTGAGCGTTTTCGCACGCGAGTATATGCGGAGTCCGTGATTAACTGTCTTAAAATGTTTAATTGGTGTTAATATTATACTTTTAATTACTGATAAAGCAGTCGTTGTCTTGTATTACGAGACTCTTTATCTTAGTAAAGATATTAACATTATCTCGATGAGCACCAATCACAAGCTACAAAAAAAATGATAAACACGCCAACTGTATATGCATTATATATAATTTTAATTATGCTGTGCTTTGTGGCAGTCTGTGGGGGAGGCCTATGTTCAGCAGTGGCCTTAAACAGGCTGAAATCATTATGATGATGGAAATGCTATAAATGATAGTATCCGGAAATATGACATCGCTTATGTCAAACTATGTAACTTATTTAAAAAAAATAATCAATGTACTAACTATAGGTGTACTACAACCAAATGAAAAAATGAATTTTTATAAGTATGCTTTTCTTAAAACCGATAAAACGCTGCCGCTTGTACCATCCACCCCATAGGTATAAATATTCGTTTCCGCCAATATAGAAGTCTTGCCAACCGAATAAAGCCTCCTTTATGGATTTCGGCAGCTTTGCAATTTTATTTTGTCGCTCGCTTCCAAGAATACGCGGCAAAAAATCGACGCCGGCGTGCCAGTGGAAGGCCGTAACACTCAGACATTTGTCGTCACTACTGTTCCATCGAACGCAAAGTGAATACTGTCTTTTTGCGCGGGCATTGTGTGAAAACCACGCAGCGAAGTAATCTATGAGAAAGGTTTTCCTCTGTATTTACTATCCTCGGCAGGGGAACTGATGATTTTCCACATTTGATCTTACTTCGAATCCCCAATAAACTATATTAATAATTAGATTACGATTCATTTTATATACGGGAGAGAAAAATCAAGCATATTGCAAGTCCATATGGTTAATTATTACACTGTTCTAGACGCATTTTCGTTCGCTTTAATTTTAAATACCCGAGTTTTTGAAAAATTTACAGCGTCCATGGCATACTGAATAATTTTATGTCCGAATGTTAACCGACCCATTGTCAATTATTTTATTATTATATTTCGACCTATGCAGTATTTTTATTGTTTACTTTATGCCGATATCCACATAAATACAAGAAATTTTTATGTCAATTTTATGTAGATTGCTACTTCTTAAAAAGTAATCTGACCTAGTGTCTAATTGGACTAAATATACTCTTATCTTGTTATAGACCCAAATAAATTTAATTTACATGTAAAACCGAAATTTTTTATATATTAATATTGATTATTTTTATATAGCAATTTAAAGGCCTTAAATTCATGAATAAACAAACTCACCATAAACATTTAGTTTTTATTAAAATAAACAGTTTGTAAACAGTTTCCTTTGTAAAATGATTACAAATACATTCCCATTCAATCAACCAATTAAATATCGTTTCCCGTGACTTGTATTCACAATTTGGAGGAAAATTACAAATTTCTAATGTTTCGATCGAGAATTAGTGTGTCAGTTGGGGCGGCTTGTCAAAAAAAACATTTACGGATCTTAAATAGTATAAAATATATAAATCGTTAAAGCAAGCGGTCATTGTTTTAGTCCGCCTTGTACCTGTATATGCAAAACATATAAAGATTTGAATCGCTGCTCACATTGCTACGGCGAATAATTACAAACAAATGCTTACATACCTTATAATCGCAATAAAACAAAAGAAACCTGCCACTGCCCGGTGCTTTGAGACAGGCAGCCGTAGCAACGTAGGGAAAAAAAACGACAAAAATGACCACGCACTCGGAATCGAAATGCAAAAAAAATATTTTGCTAGAAAGAGAGGGGCGTACGGTAAACGTTCCAGATAGAGGGGAATGGCAGAAATTTCGAACTTAGAATGCAGCGCGTGCTCTTCGACATCCGTCGGCGCAAAAAAAAATCGAGGCCGCCATCTACCGGCGCTTTGTGACACTAGGCTTATTCGACTTATGCGTTTGGTGGTTTCGAAACCGTATTTAGCCATATATTATATGTTTAACACTCTTAGGTGGACGCTCATTTACAACCTCGCAAATATTTTCAAACACCTCATAATAGGTAGGTAATAAACG